ATTGGAGTCCACGTGTGGTAAATGCAGTTGATGAAGTCAGTGGACATGATTTAGAATGACAGTGCATGTCAAAATACGAACCAAGCCCCGAAGTTCAAGGAATTCTCTATAGTTCTCCTAGACAGGATTGTATTGAGCCACAGATCTGGGGAAGAAAAATTCCGGCAGCACTGAAGGTTCCAGTGAGCACAGTGGGCTCCAAGTTTGGAACCACCAAACCATGAGAAACTAAATTCTGTGGTCTAATGAAATAAAGAATGAGCTAACTGGCCTCAATGCCAAACGTCATGTCTGGAGGAAACCAGTCAGCACTCATCACCTGACCAATACCATTCCTACAGTCAAACATGGTGGTGGACCCATCATACTGTTGGGATGTTGTTTGGAGCTGGAACTAGAAACCCAGTCAGGGTTGAGGGAAGGATGAATGAAGAAATGTGCAGAGACATCCTAGCTCATAACCTGCTCCAGAGCGCAGACTGTGGCAAAAGTTCTTCCAACAGGACAGCAACTCTAAGCACATAAGCCAAGATGTCAAAGGAGTGGCTTTGGGAATCTCTGTGAATGACCTTGAGTGCCCCATCAAGAATCCGGATCTAACCCCTTCTTTGGTTTTTATTTTTAATACCTTTGCAAGAATTTAAAACAAACTCTCTTTGTCACTATGAAGTATTCTGTACAATTTCAAGGTGAAAAATGAATTTCTTACAGTTTGGAATAAGACTGGAACATGAAAAAATGTGGAATGCTGTGAATACTTGCCAGATCTACTGTTGCCATTAATGCCATTCATTGTTTCTTTATTAAACCTGTTAAGTGTATCTGTAAGATTTTATCCATGATAATGTCCATGACTATGACTATGCAAATACAGTGCACATCATTATCTAGAGAAATGTCCCCATGCTCAAAAAGGTCGGCTTCTGGGAAATCAACAAACAGCTGTCTTTTCTTTAAACTTTAACTAATTTGTTTAGCTTTAATGCCTCGAAAACTGCGTCATACTCTAAAGTCATAGCTATAGTTATAGTCACGCAAAACTACAAAACTGGTCTCCACCAGTTATGTGTTATCTGCACACGTCACTGCCCATTTTGTAAATTTTTGTCATCAACTTGTTTATGTACTATATCAGAAAACATTTTACATAATTTCTAAGAAGCATCATCCCTGAAATAATTTCC